CTAATATCAACATGTCCAATTTTCAGAAGGAAAAGCAGAAACTTATTTATCTAGCAAATATGTATTGAATACCTAGTAAGTATTGATACCTACTATGTGTAGGACATGATATTTGCTCTTTTGCAGTTTGCAAAAGTGAGAGAGGCAATTAACAAGCAAGTAAACATTTTCTAATGTTAATAGTGCTAAAGGATAATGGGTTGGTTCACATTCTTTGCTGCTGCTCTCTCATGTCCTTCCCTACGAGGCACTTCCCTGATTCCATTCACTGTAGATGTTGTTTTTTTTTTTATCTCACTGAGACCAAACTTGGATGTATGATGTGCTTTGACCAATGAACCATGAGTAGAAGTGATCTATGCTACATCTAGACAAAAATGTAAAGAACCAGTGTGTAGTTTTTCCATTGTTTTTTCCCTATACCTCAAGAATTGGGTGCCCAAGATAGGGACAGCTTTTCCTACCTGTCCTTAAATGAAAATAGCCCTCCCACAGTCAAGGTTAGTGAGACAAGAATGAGAAATAAACCCTTTGTTTCCGGAAGCCACTAAGACTTGGGGATTACCTGCTATTGCAGCACAATCTAGTGAAATCTGAATAGTACAATGGGCGTGTTTTTGTGTTGCAGTAGGGGATGGAAGAGGACTTTTGAGATGGTCTGAGAGCTTGTAACAGGAGCTAACATATTTTTTAACCAGCCTATGGTCACTGTATGTCCAACATAATAAATAAGTTTCCTCAAGCCTGTTTAGGCCATTTCTCCACAAATGATACTGTATTCATAAAATGGCTGGATTCTGAGTGAAATTCACAGAACACATAATGGAAAGGTTTATAACTGAATTTCCGTGCAGTTTCATGAAAATTCCAATGATTCACCAAACATTTATGTTTGTATTAATTCTAAAGCATGTTTTGTCTCAAGATCTTTGTTCCTTAATTTTAATCTGTAAGTCTGTTCAAGAAAATGGAATCCATATGTTTCCCATTCATTTACACTTACTTCATCAAAATACAATTTTAAAGAATCACTTGATTTTTTAATGTCTTAAAGTCATATTTTCCTTTCCAAATTGGGAAGCTGTCTTCCCCATGGTCTGCACCTCAAAGAAAGAGAAAGTCTTGATCTTTTTGGGATACGGTGAGGTCCCCAGTTCAGATGACTCTCTCTTGGCCACAGTGAAAATTTCTCCAAATGAGGCTCTATTATCATTATGAAACTGAAATCTGCCAAGTGAGATCACAGTGTCCAGCCACTGGAACAAGAATGTATTCCTTTAAGGAAAAAAAATGCAAAGTCAGAGTCTAACATTTCCCCAGGCACTATTTTTTTTCAGACACGTAATATGTTTATTTATTTTTTTGCAACCAGGTCAACTTCAATATTTCATACCTTATTTCTAGCTGATAGGAAAAGTACTTTTGAATCTTTCATCTTTAATATTTGGGAAAACATCAAACATTTTAACCATAGTATAACAGCCCTTTGTGCTTCACCCTAGCTTATTCTTTTACTCTCCCTTAACACCAAAACCACGTGCAATGCCTCACATGACCATTTCTGCTCCTTACAGCTGGAATGGTTTTATGCCCCTAGTCAACCAGGTGCCTTCAGATTCTTTCTTACAGATTCTGCTGAAAGGCTTCCTTCTCCTCTGATTTCCATGCAATTACGAGCCTCGTCATCAGTGCTCACACATGTCCATGCAAATGCTTCCGATTAACACTTACCTCATGGTGTTATAATTGTTCACATAATCTCCTCCAATAGATTTTGACCCATTTGAGGGGGAAAAAATACAAAAGCAGGCTTTATTTGATATTGTTTCTTTCTCATTTTCAGAACAACAGTCCTCAATGAGCATTATTAATGGTGAATAAATGGTGAAATACATGCACAGTTAAATGACACTTAATACTCATTACTGTATCTTCACTGCAATGAGAAAACATATGTTCTGGGTTGGAGAAGTGAGGTTCAAAATTGAACCTATAACAAAAAAATACCACAATTTAGCATTCTTTTAAATTAATATAAAGAGAGAGAGATCCAAGATGGTGGCAGAGTAGGTGAAAGTTACATTCACTCCTTCTGAGACCACACTGCAATTACAACATAAGTATAGAACAATAAGCCTGAATCACCAGCTGAAGACTAGCTGAAAAGAAGAATTATAACCAAGGTTTACCAAAGAAGCTGCATCGAAGCTGCTGGTCAGTGTGGAGACACTGGACTACCTCAGCTTCAAAGGTTTCTTCTGAAGAGTGTGGGGTCACAACTCATACCAGGCTCCCTAGCCCAGAGCACCAGAGCTAAGAAGAGGTACCCACCTATCTGGCTGTGAAAATCAGTGAGGATTCCCTCCACCAGGGAGAGACAGGAGTTTGCTAAAGACATAGGTGACCTCTTAAAAGGCCAGCACACTCATCTTGGGCTGCAGCAGAGGGAGGGCAAAATGGACCAGAGTCCTGTGAGGAGAGACTGGGGTTTGTGGCTCTGGGGAGAGAACTGAGGGGACAGCCCTCAGGGTCCCTGTGCTGAGTCCCTCTCTCCCACTGCAGACACCATCTTTCTTGGGTGGAGCACTCCTCCTACAGCATCATCCTGGGGGATGCAATAGCCCCATCCTATTGATTCCCTGACCCCACCCTGCAGAGCTCACACCCTATGCAGAGTCAGCTGTCCGGGCCAGAGTGTAGAGGTCTGAACAAACTCAGGCGGGGCGTCAGTTACTAAGTTGTGTTGCTCTGGAATGGGGCTATTTCCCCCAAATTTCCATGAGCTTGGCTAGTGCCTCCTCCTCATGGGAGTTCAGCTAGCCACACCCACTGGGCTCCTGCTCCCAACTTCAAACTCCTGTGACCTCATTCTGTCAAGCACAGGTTCTCCAGGGGGTCTGGGCAGAATCTGGGACAGACTGAGTTGTGTGGCTCTGGAGCAGGGGCCACTGCCCCTCCCCCCATACCTTTCTGTGAGTTTGACTGCCCCCCCATGAGAGATCTACTAATCCCATCTTCCCAACTCCCAATGACCCTACCCTGCTAAGCTTGAGCCCCCAGAAAATTTCTGCAGAATCTGGGACAGACTGGGTTATGTGGCTCTAGGACAGGCCATTTCTCCCTTGAGCACCGGACAGATGCAGAGCTCTCTTCACTAATAAATCTTGGTCAGTTTGAGCCTCATGAACTCTGTTGGCCTTACACTGATGGCTCCCTGAGACCCCCGCCCCACCACAAAGGTTTTAGGGCACCTGGCAGGGACCAGTGAGACTTAATGTACCCCAGGACTCTTGCTGAGAGACACCACACCCAGCACTGGCAACCAGTTTGAACCTGTATCAACCTGGAGAACACCACTCACCCTCTACCTGGTGACTCACTAAGAACCTACCTCATACAACTTGGGTACCACCGGAGGCTCTTTCAGTGACAGAGACTAACAGGAAGCCAACAGGTGGAAGCAGGCAGAAGGGGAATCTCATGATGCCTTGGGTATTTTGCTGACCTGCCCCTGGGGTTGGTGCTGGTAGAAGCCAGCCTTGGTGTACAACTTGGTCCTTCCCATGCACACAGAGGCCAGCAAAGGCAGCAACAGACTGTGAATTCCATGTAGCTCTAAACAGGTTGCCCAAGGCAGTCATGACAGTGTCTGACAATGACCTGCACTAGAATCCTTCCCCAAAAATCTCAGAACAAATGCACCCATTAGTCAGCTTCAGGAAACACCAGAACAGGCTCCAATTAGCTCAACAAGCAGCATATTCAAAGGAAGATCTAGAAAGGCTACAGACCCAGCTGAGGTGAATTCTGCTTCTTGTGGTCAGCAATTGAGGCTAGTACACTGTGGTCAGGTTGATCCTCACAGTCAGCCACCCTGAGGGTGGAACCCAAAAATGAACTTGCCAATAGCAACCGAGACTCAATGGCAAGAAAGGCTTACATAACCCAAACATTCCTGAATCACCAGCTCAAGTGCTCAAGTAGACTGCCCCACAGGGTCCCACAAGACACTTACTACATAAGGTCACCCTACCAAGATTAGGAGACATAGATCTACCTAATACATAGAAACAAATACAAAGAGACAGCCAAAATGGGGAGACAAACAAAGATGCTCTGAATAAAAGAACAGGAGAAATTGACAGGAAAACAAATGAAATTGAGGCAAGCAAGCCTATATAATAAAAGCCTAATATGCAAATTGACAAAACAGTGAAATGACCCGTGGAATGACCGGTCACTATAACACACATTGACTACCGGGGCAGATGCTCAATGCAAGAGCTTCCCCCAGCCCACAGGCCCCAGGCCAGCCAAGGCGGGTGCCAGCAGGGGCCCCCCAATCTCCCTGCCACTAGCCCCACAGAGGGAGGCAACCAGTGGTGGCAGTGGGGGGTGGGGCAGGGGCCCCACCAGTTGCCCCACAGATTGGCCCTGATTGCCAGCCAGGCCTAGGGAGCCTACCCGTGCACAAATTTCATTCACCAGGTCTCTAGTTTATCATATAAAGAGGATTTTTAAATGGTTAAAAAGATGCTGAAGAAAATTAGTGAGAACTTAGCATGAAAATTGGACATAAAAAGCATAAAAAGGAACTAGTGAGAAATGAAGAATGAAATACCTGAAATGAAGACTACACAAGAAGGAATAGACAGTAGCTTAGATAAAGCAGAGAATCAAATCAAGGATTTAAAAGACAAGGTAGCAGAAAATATATAATCAATCAGAGCAGAAAAAAAAAACTAAAAATATTAGGATAGTTTAAGGGACCTTTGGGATAAGATGAAGCATAATAATATTCACATCATGTAGTTACCCAAAGGAGAAGAGAGAGACCACAGGATCAAGAAACTATTTGAAAAAAATTACTAATGAAAACTTTACTAACCTGGTGAAGGAAAAAGACACACAAGTCCAGGAAGTGCAGAGTCCCAAACAAGATGAACCAAAAAAGGGCCAACACCAAGACACATCATTATTAAAATGGGAAGGTTAAAGGCAAAGAAAGAATCTTAAAAAGCATCAAGAGAAGAACAGTTAGCTACCTACAAGGGAGAGCTCATTAGACTGTCAGCTGATTTCTCAAAGGAAACATTTCAGGCCAGAAGAAATTAGCATGAAATATTCAGTGATAAAAAGCTAGGAGCTACAACCAAGACTACATTACCCAGCAAGGCTATCATTTGAAGTTGAAGGAGAAATAAATAGCCTCCAGAACAAGATAAAGGTAAGAGAGTTCATTACCACGAAACTGGTATTATAAGAAACTAGAGGCCTGGTGCATGAATTCATGCACATTGAAAGGAAATTAATTAGAAGGTGGCCGGTGGGGCCGGAATGGGCGAGGGGCCGGACACACCCTGGAGCCAACCTCCCATGGTCCCTCCCCAGCCGGCTGCACCTGGGGTGGTGCCGGGTCTGGAAGGGCATCTGCGGACTGAGCAGGGTCCCTCCGGCAGGTGGGGGTCCCTCGGCCTGGCCTGCGGAAATTGGGCTGAAACCGTGCACTGGGCCTCCGACATCCCCTGAGGGCGTCCCGGAGTGCAAGAGGGCACTCTGCAAAGCTGCTGTCACTGGGCAGCTCCTGCATTGAGCATCTGCCTCCTAGTGGTCAGTGCACGTCATATGGGCCAGTCGCTTAGCCTTTTATATATATAATGATAAAGGGTCCTCTATAGAAGAAGATGAAGAAGAAGAGAAGAAGAAAACAAACATATAAATAATTAAGAATAAAATTCTCTCTCTCTCTCTCTCTCTCTCTCTCTCTCTCTCTCTCCCTCCTTCCCTCCCTCCCTGCCTCTCTCTATAAAATACATAAAAAATATATTACAAAAAATAATACAAGACCCAAATATATGCTGTCTACAAGAGAACCACTTTAGAATGAAAGATACACAGAGATTAAAAGTAGAGGAATGGATAAAGATATTTCATTAAAATAGAAATTTTAAAAAGCTGGGAGAGCAATACTTAAACAAAATAGACTTTAAAACAAAGGCTATAATAAGAAAAAAAGAAGGACACTATATAATGATAAAGGAATCAATTCAATTAGAGAATATGCCCCTGTAAACTTTTATGCACCCAACATAGGAGCACCTAAATATACAAAGCAAATTTTGATGGACATAAAGCAAGAGATCGACAGTAATACAGTCATAGTAGGGGACTTTAACACCACATTGACATCAATGGATAGGAATTCCAGACAGATAATCAACAAGAAAACAGTCATTTTAAAAGAAAAACTAGATCAAATTATTTTAATTAATATCATCAGAGCATTTCATACAAAAGAAGCACAATATTATTATTGTCAAGTGCAGATGAAAGCTTTTCTAAAACTGACCACATTTTAGGACAAAAACAAGTCTCAATACATTTAAGAAGATTGAAATCATATCAAACAACTTCTCTCACCATGATGTTATAAAATTACATAAAATCACAAGAAAAAAACAAGCAGAAAATTACACAAAAACATGGGGGCTAAATAATTTGCTAATAATAAATGAATATGTTAACTATAAAATCAAGGAAGAAGTCAAAAGATAGTTTGAAACAAATGAAAATGAGAGCACAATAACCCAAAACATATGGGACTCAGAGAAAGCAGTCCTAAGAGGGAAATTCATAGCATTACAAGCCTACCTCAAAAAAGAAGAAAAAATCTCAAACAATCTGACTTTACACTAAAGGAACTAGACACACAAAAGTCCTGGACCAGAAGTCTTCACAGATTAATTTTACCAAACATGTAAAGAAGAATTAACACCTATCCTTTTCAAGCTATTCCAACAATTTCAAGAGGAGGGAAGACTTCCAAGCTCATTTTATGAGACCAGAATCGTCCTAATTCCAAAAACCAGAAAAGGACAATACAATAAATAACTAAAAATA